CATGAGTGCTAAAGGCGAGCTGTTGTTGTCAGTGCCATTGTGGAGAGGCTGCGGGAGGACTAGCCACACCCCGCAATCCCTCCACCATCGACTTCGGCGACAACCGCCTGCCTCCAGAAATGTGTTCACTGCCTTTAAGATAGAATCTTAGCTCTGCTTTGTGAAAAGGGAGAAAAGGAAAGAAGAAGCACAAAATAAGTTAGAACTACTTATCACCTTGGCCATATTTCGTTATAGAGAAAATCATACATCCGTGTACCAACGCAAATTGAGAGAAGAATTGATATGTATGTCTGAAGCAGACAGAAAAAGCACTTAGCATCAAAGTTAGTTAACAGTATAAGACTAACCTTATAATGAGCTATAAGGTCTGACACTTTTCCTTCTTTGCAGCCGCTCATGGCCAAGTCGACAAGCCGCCTCATCTGTTCCGTAAGCAAGTTCGGAAGACGGTCCAGAAACTTCTGTTCAGCTCTTATACGGCCGCGATGGATATCGAGCAGATAGTAGCAGGCAGACGTAATTTCACCTCTATAAAGACCGTCATTGACCCGGTTTGTTTTATGATGCTGAGCTGGAGAGGAGGGGTTGGGGGGGGGGGGCATGCGGTCTCGGTACTGTGAGAGATAGCGCACACGGCCGCCTTCAAATAAGTTGTAATACCCTAACCTTGAATTGAACAACTCTAGTTGATCGTCTTCAGATATGAGAGTCAGTTCGAATAGCTCGTCGTGAGAAAGAGCGATCAGGCAATCAGAAGAGCCTTTTCGGCAAAGCGACTGATAGCATGCTCTCTCAGCCAAACATTGCATGGCTGGACTCACATTACCACCAGTGGTTAAACCCTGAAAACTCAGAATCTGACCCAGAGCAAATTCAAAAATAAGCCGCTTGAGTCACCTTGAAATCCGATGTTGAGAACAACAACGGTATCCTGCTCGGGGAGCTGTTTTGAGAAGAAACCTGCTTGTCATCCTTGATTACCGAACAGGAACCTCGCTCATCGAACGCGACCAGGTACGACTTCGTTAGAAAGCCAAAGTTTACAATGGGCTGAAACACTGAATTCAATTTATGAGTGAATTTCTACTCACACTGGTTTGATCAATATAATTGAGCAAAGGAATAGAAAGCATCACACGAATATAGGAATATAAAATCACTTCGGAGGGTTGAGCACCGGTCGGAAGAGCTCAGCACGTAACAAAAGAAAAAGAGACACAATATCACAAAAAATAGAATTTGACCAGGTCATGGTTTTGTGAAGGCCTGCTCCAAGAAGTACGGCTAAGGGAGTGTTATGATACTAGAGGCAGCGGAAGACAGCCAAATGACTCATTTCCCTCACTGCCGCTGCATCTGCTTAACTCAATAATTCCGTGACCGTAGAATGAGCCGCTTCATTGGGAGGGGAGAATCACAAGTGTTCCCGTTGATCAGAGTATGTTGGAAAGCTGGCGCCAGTGAGAGTGCATCACAACGTGTGTCTGGTTTTCGCGTTTACTCGCGTAAAGGCATTACGGCTTTCTGCAACGTCTTCGAAATGTTCGCCATGAACTACGCTCGTTCCACGTCAGACGGTTGAGTCGATACCACACCTTCCTAATCGTTCAGAAGGCTGGCGTACCCTCAAAACTTTGACGCAAAGTATGACGGCACTTCAATGCTCCACTGACGGAGATGTACCGAGCAAACTGAACATTCGCCAGAATCAGGAATCAAGCATTTCAAGGATTGTGAGCCCTCTTTCATCTAAAACTGGGACTCGGGTTTGACCTACACAACAGCCAACCGGCAGCAAAACTCTGGATACTTGTTTCTGGTTACCAGATGCATTCGTGCAAATAAGTTACGCTCTACATAATCAAATGAGAATTACCTGCGCCAAGCTAACTTGTATGAACAAAACACGACGGCCCTTTCCTCTTGCGTGCCAATATGTTGTGGGTTGAGTCTAAATATGCTCAAATTGCTTCCACGAGCTACGCAAATGCGAACAGCACTGCGCTCTCCATTAGCGCTCTTGTTCTGTAACATAAAAAAAATTGGTGAATTTCGTGAAATAATGCTCCTGAAAGACATCTCCAATAGGAAGAGTAAAAAATTGAACGAAAATCGAAATCGAACGAAAGAAATTGTAAACGATTCGGTTAAACGTCACCTCTTCAATAAAATCCAGCAAGGGTGGAAAACTAGGGCTACTTTCCATTGGAAATACGCAAACCACTGAACCACCCAGACGAGTAGAAACAATCAAAATCTGGAAGGTTTTATAAGCAAAGGATCCCTGGTTCAATGAGTTGCACAAAAGAGTTAGAGGTGATCATACCTTAGAAACTGTGAGTAAAGCTAAAAGAGAGTAGGGTAATAAACGCATGTGAATGACTTCTCCATTGCAGCCAGAGAATACGCATCGAATCTTCAAAATGAATCATGATATCAGGGGTGAAATATGAGTAGAAAATACAAACCCGCGATTTCCCTGCGAGCCGAAACTTCTGCAGAATTTGGATCTCGAACACTGATCCACCACTGTCGAGGGTCAAAATAGTACGACGAGAGCCAATGTATAAAATCTCCAACACTCCCCGACCTATCTGCACTGCATCTTGGATCAACTGTTCAACAGCGCCGCTTTTCGTGTTTATTATCTGAAGAAGTCAGATCTGCACTTTCGGCACAACTCTTTGTCTCCTATAGATCTTACTTTTACGAAACCTTTGCTGTATCCAACTGCAATATGCCCTCCACCACTAGAGAACGCTACACACGATGCTGAGCCATCTAATTCGCCCCCATGCCGGAAACGCTCCAAACGTCCCTGAAATAGACCAAGGGTAGAGAAAGAGTACCAGCAGAGCGCTTGTATCATGAGGATTGTTGCTATAGTTCCATGTACTTAAGCAACTTCGATTAAATTTGCATGCGTACAGTTTTTTTCAGGGAGGATGGTGAGAAAAGCTATATGATGCAGTCTCCGCCGCTTGCCGAAAAAAAGCGAGCTGGCGAGACACCAGCCCGTTTTTTTTCCTTCGGCAGGCGAGAAGACAGCATAATACAGTTCTGGTCGTTTTGCAACGACTGTTGTCGCATAACCGCTTCGACAACTGGTGGAGAATGAGTAGGCGCCGCGCCAAACACAGCCTCCTGAGACACCCTAACATCCGAAGCGGTCAAACAAGGGATTAAAGGCAGTTGGCACGATGATTTGGTGCTCGGCCTAAAATGCTAGTAGGGCGCTATATAGTGGGGAAATGGCGAAAGAACGGAGTGAAACGGTCAAAATCCTGCGAAAAAAGAGCCTCCGTTCTCACTGTGTTAGTAATCAATTTTGGACGAGTTTCCCGTAGGCATCTTGCCAATAACCGCTACCGAAGGTACGGCTGCATATGTGTACTCATATATCCATGCAGCATCACGGCCGCTTCATACCAATCCCTTCGCTTCATAATTTGCTTAGCAAATGAATCAATTAGAGCGTCAGGAACAGGTCGTCCATTTGTGGGCGGGGCGTGGGGGCGTTTGGGACGTAAAGTTGTGGCTTGATAGGGCCCTTATAAGGGCACCTTCCTTGGAAAAGGCATATGCAGCGCCTGCTCAGGGTCGCGGAATTCCGTCCTGCCAGGCGTATTAATCCTACTCGTCTTGGAGGATTTATCGTGCCAACTGCCTTTAAACAGATGACTGTGTATAATATATTGAGTGTGTCATACAGAGCATATAATGGAGCCCTTGGCATAGTCCGCTATACAGGCAGTGTTACCACCCATGGGTACGCTACTGCTACAGCAAGATCCATGCTTCGCGAATCGAAAAGAGACCAGTTGGTGAGGAGATGCGAATCTGAAGACAGTTCGACCTAGCGCAAATGTGGCATTGCGATATTCCGAATATTCCAACTGAGTCCTGAGATTTCTAGATTCAATAAGAATACTTTACTAATCCAATAAAAACTAGTCTCTGACATGTTCTGATTGTTTATGTCTATCACCACAATTACTGATGCGAGCGATGTCACAGGAATATCGCAGTTGTTGGCAGAAGACTTGATTCCAGCCAGGATGGCCACCTGAACATCGAGTTTGGGCTGAAACGTTCATACTTCTTGCGGAGTAAGCGTGCGAGTAGATCTCGGAGTTTGACCGGGGTTTGAGGCGAATCGACGACTTGCATACGGAAAAGGACAGTACAGTATCGATCTCGGGCGTGTGCCAGAAAGATATCAAGCGGTTCCCAATGAAGCACTGTAAGGGAACTGAGCATCTGGCATTTGGGATATGCCTGGAAAGAGCGAGGCATGTAAGAAGACTAAAGGGACCTAAAAACCATAAAGCTGGAAAGGGCGCGGAGCTAAAGAGGCTGTAAGTGGTTATCAAGTAGCCTCAGAGGCAGCGTGTCTAGGTTCGAAGTTTGGCCGGAGGGTCAGCATTTAAGCCCAGTAAATTCAGGAATCTGGACTTTCAACAGCTTATGCGTGCTATTCAGAATTCTATTTTGAACAGATCTTGCTCCGAGTAGAAAATGCCACCGAGTATGTTAGAGAGGGCGTGGTGGGTCGCCGCTATACCCTTGCAAGCGACGCAATGAAACATTGATACTAGCATTTGGTTGTCTTGCCCCACGTAGTAAAGGCACTTCGAATCAATCAGGACCTAACGCGCACACATGACCCTTCTCTAACGACTCTTCGGCGCATGCGTTCGCCCACAAGCCGTGAAGCCTGCGGTTACAGTATCCAAGAAGAGAAGTAGTATTTGTGTTTCCAACCCTAAGTCTTAACAGACGAAATTCACGAAAAAAAAGACTTTGTAGAGCTGAATAATATTTTTTCAGTACCTAATCGTTCGGTCTTCACGGCACTGTCCAGCTTATAGCTCGCAGCAGCAGATGGCGGTGGACTGATATGATCAACACTTCCAGACAGGTGTCCATCTAGCAGTTCATCATCAAGTTGGCTTACCTGGAACCAGGAACTTCGACGAGCACTACTTCAGTAAAATATATGCCCAGTGGTGAAGATCAATCCGCCTACCGCTGCCGCCTAAGTAAACAGTCAAATCAAGATTTCTTGAATTACCTCATTAAGGACATCATCTAAAGAAAGCGAAGGTAGGGAGAGGGAATCCGATATGTCCAACCAATCCTCTGCTTCCACTGAGCCAGCAATAGAGTTCATTTCATAGGCAGCTGGATATGCATAGCTACACGCATCGTGCAAATTCAGCGTTGTTTTTCTGTCTGAAAACAAATGTAAAACCAGTATTAAGACGGCCTGCCTGCTGTAGCAGCACAACAGCGGCACTGCACATCGCGACTGCGCGTCTCCTAGGCTTGCATTTTATTGCCGCCCACGCGAATCCCAAGTAAAAGTACTAGCGAGGATATCTCGTCTTTCGGGAAACGCCCCAGAAACAGAACACACGAAAAAGAATCGCCAGAAACAGAAAAGATAATAGCTACGCTGCCATTCTGGTAGGAACCTGTGAATACAACAGTTCTGTAAAGAAAATAATAAATCTTTATTATAGTAAACCCATCCGCAGCAATAAAGATATGACTCAAACACAAAAATCAACAGCAGAAGAGATAACAATTGCACGCTAGCATAACAATCCCTAATATAGTTGGCATAAATAAAAAAGGAAAACAAAACCATAACAACATATGTTAAAGTGAGGCGTTGAATTCACAGTGCATAAGGCATGCTTTATAATAAAAACGGCATTCACAACAAAAATCACAGAGAATCGGGGATTATCACAATATTAATGGAAGAGAAATCTGTGTGGCAATACCACTGGGACTATTCCTCGAACATCAATAAAAAACGAATCAATCTCTGACTATCACATAATGATATGAGGCTCAGGAACATTGCTAGCAATGCACTTGTGAGGCAATACTTGGGCTCCGTTCAGATAGAGTTCATCATTCACAACCTGAACAACCCTTCTGAGCTTCCAAAAATACTCAAAAAATGGACACGCGCTGTTCGGCTTGGACTGGGCATTTTACACTTTCGCTACTTCCTCTTGCTAGTACATGTTAGTAACAGGTTAATCTTGTAAGCCCGTGAGAAACTTATATATGGTACAAGTGAGCCACTTTGATTACAGGAATTTACAGGTCAACACAAGGTGGCTTGTACAGACCTTGCTGAACACCACTTGGTGCCCCTACCAGCCGAACTGCGTTTTTAATGAATCAAAGAAGAATGTTTTTTCGCAAACTTACCACATCATCTCCAATCACACTGTTGTTTTCAATGCGTACCCATCGCCCTATAGAGCACTTTCCGTCCGATAATGCTCTGGTTTATCCATGAATGTGTTCGAATAATAGAATCAGACAACACTGTGCAATGGCGCAAGCAAACACCATCTTCCACAAGCACTCTCGGTCCAATAACCTAAATCGGGCAACCAATTATCGAATGGAAAAGTTGAGGACAAAAGGATGAAGAACGCGTAGATTGAAGGTAAACTTCAAGTACTGTAGCCATAATTACTACAGAATTACAAGAAGTCGGCAACCCCTAAAAACCCAGCACCACCCTGTAGACGAGTTCGTCACCTAGCTACGGAACTTAGTGATTTCTCCATTTTCCACGCCCGTGGTGGTATCCCTGTCCTACCTTTGGACAAAACGTTCTGCAATACGACACTGTTCCCCAACCCCATCATACCTATCATATCCTTGTACTCTCCCACTTCCCACTGCTCCTAGCACTATTCTGAAGCTTGAATTTTTTTCCAAAAAGCTGCCGTCTAGCGGAGGGAGGAAGAGGTGAAACAGGGAAAACCGAGGAAAACCGAAAATGTCAACAAACGAAACGGTCTTGCTCATAGGCAAATACGACCTCCTCGTTGGGTACACCAACGCGGGGATCGTATTTGCCATGCCCTGGATATAGTACCGCTCAAATTTTCAAAGAGTATACTGAAACTACGAGGGGAGTTGGGAGTCGGTGGAAAGGCAAAAGATGAGCCAAGTGCCACGTGCATTGTTCAGAAGTCAAGTCCCAAACCGGTATCGCAAGAGACCGACCAAGCCCAGGGTCAGCCCGCTATGGAAGGCAAGCATTCACATGCACATAAACTGGTATCGCGAGGCTGTGCATATTCCTTGTCATATCCGATACGCTATTACGACTCTGAATGGAAGCATAATAGGAGAAAGAGAGTGGTCGAGCTTTTCTGCAGGGATTCTGAGACACTCCAGTTCCACGACCGTTGTGAAAGTGTGATAGAAAAATTCAGGCAGAAAGGGAAGACCATTAACTACCACGAGGGAAGCCGAGACAGATAGTATAAACAAATATGTGCCACCACTGGAATATCGATTGGTGGTAACGGTATTCATTCAGAGGAGCCTCAAGAATGAGTAAAAATAGCTAGGTAAACACCTCCTGAAACAACACTGAACATAAAGGAAAACAACTGAGTTCAGCTTGCTCGAAGGAAAGGGGGTGTTAAATGCAAATTCCACGACTGCATATCGGGATAGTGATGCCAAACCACAACCTACAGCCGCTGAGTGACTTTTCAGGGAAGAAAAAATGAAGAAAATTATGGAGACTACCCTAAAGAAGGACCTGACAGTCCAACCGTACGAATTCTCCGGACCTGCTCCTTTCAGGCCAGCAAAGGGATATCCTGCCGCCTCTAACTCATCAGGCGTTTGTTCGCGTCATCCAGTGCTTATATCATGCAACGTTGAAAAAAAATGGTGTAAAAACTGGACTGACAGAATAGCCTCTGAGATTTGGTGGGCGAGGGAGTCGTCAGAACTGCTACTTATGGGGGCCGCAGCGCAAATGTGGGAACATCACAGAGACTGTGGACCAGACAACTTGAAAATGACGAACTCCTACGAATGGTTGAACGCGGGGACTGTCTTTGGAAGGATCAGTGATAGAATCTCTGCACTTTTTGAATGCGGCACGCACACCATTTCCTCCAGAGTCATAGTGACACCATAAAGTGGCCCACGCAATTACCTGCGGTGTATAAGTCATTATTCTTTATTCTCCTACACGAATATTTTTATGGAACCCACCCGAGGCAAAAGAGGGTTGAGTTGGCCCTGACGGAATTCAATCCAAGAGGCCAATCTCCTACCTTGCGCTCGCTAGTAGCGACTACTAGGGCTCGGTTGCGCTCTATGATTGCACTACAGTACTGAAAGTAGTTTCCCATCCAAAAGGAGCCACGCAAACGTTCCAAGCAGAAAAACAACGGAAAAGCTATCATTGTTGATGAGAAATCGTTCTCTTAACACGGCAACAAGTCCAGAGCAATTCTTGATAACACATCGATTGATGTGTCATAGGAAACATGAAATTCCTCGACTCGCAAATGATCACCTATCAGTGTTCTTGTGATAGACTTCGAGACGCAATCAGTTAATGAATCACTTTTTATCGCATCTTCAGCAAAGACGTGCTCCATTACACTAGGAAAAGTGGCAAAGACTGGCGAAACATTTGATTTGCTCAAGCGAACTCTTCTCTTACAATGACTAACTAATATGCCAAAAATCACGGGGATAGCGATTATTTCCGCGTTTCTGCTAAGCCAGCATGAGCCTCAACACCTATGGGAACTGCTATGGGGACATTATATTGCAGAATTACACGGTTTATGAAGTCAAAGTCGACGGTGTCTGCAGCCTAATTCTCTTGGTCACCTGGGAAATTTAGAACACGTAGAGGCAAAGTCAACGATTCCTGATGCTGCGAGCAGTTTCCAGTTGCGAGCAGGACTGGTTTGCTTTTTCCGAGTCGTGAGTTTG